AGGATACTTTTTCGAGAAAGGAGTTTGTTAAGGAAGAATGCTAAATAATATATCAATTGAAACAATTGAGACAATTATTCGAAAGGAATAATTTTGTTTATGTATCTTCTAAAACTTTCTAAAGACTATAAATTTCGATAAACGAAATTAAAATTAAATATATGATTACGCATTGTTCTCACTGTGATGTCAGCGCTGATTCTTATTAGTCTCACAGTCTTTTTATTTTGTTTCATAGTCAAATTGTATAAAAAACTGTTTAAAAGTTTACCTGATAATACAAAATATTATTTATTTATTTTTACACATTAGCAAACGTTATCCATATCTCTTGTATAGCACTCGAATATATGACGTTGCAGTTGTTAGGCCATCAATTTAATAATTGCATTTCGTGATAACGTCGTGTATGATGGCCTTTCAAGACCTTATAGTATCGTAGCATAGAATATATTCATTGCCAGTTACTAAATTTTTTATATAACAATATATTTATATAACTTTTTTCAACTTTTTCAAATAAACATATCTGCTTACAACTAATTGGAAATAATTATAATAAATTTATCGTTTTTTTTTGGATTTTTATATACAAATACGGATTTTTTAATTCTTGTATTTTTTATATGTAAACAATTTTTATTTTCTATTTATTTTGTACATTCTTTGCATTTTAATTGCAATAAATTAAATGCAAATTTTTCTCAAAGTAGAATAATTTTTCTAACGAAGTTAAAGATAAAAGTACATATCCACTCTGACTATGATATATTCGTAAGTTATCGCATGCATGTTACGTAATACGATTTGCGAAGGATTCACGTTACAAGGTATCGTCGAATTGCATCCTCAGTGAGACGTTACATGAATCGGCTAGACGAGGAAATAATTTTGAAAGTATTCCCTTGTTTGATCACTACTTATAATCACGTTTTAGTCCTGTTTTATAATTTATTATAAGTATATGTATTATAACAAATGCGAAATCGCAAATACGTCCAACGATAGTAATATAAGATTTGTTATAAATGTTAAATAATTACGTATAGTATTTGATAATATTATGACATTATTATTTTTAATGTTATTATAATGCTATTATAATGTTATTATGGATTATGACTTCATGGGATTCTGCTGTGTAAACTTCAAATAAAATAAAGAAATTTTGTATTTCACAAAATTGGTTTTCTCAGTATCGAAAATTATAGAGTTGTAATTATGGTCAAAATAAGTTTAACAATTCTTTTTACCTACTCTGAATTCTGTTCTGACCGACCGGCATGATTTTATTAATATCCATAAGCCATGCTAGAAGGCAAGAAGGAACTTGTGCAGCTTTAAGACGGCGCTGCTTGAGAGCCAAAAATAATCGGACCGGAGGTAAACTTTAGGTCTGAGTTGTTCCGCGGTAGAAACTGCCAATTGAGTGTCTGATCTGCCATCGTAAACTTTTGCGGATCCTTGCGGATACTTTCTTCGGAGAGCAAAGTAACGTTACATCAGGAACGAATAATAATCGTAAAAGAAGAGCTGAAGAAGAAGAAGAAAACGGACCGAACAGGGTTTTTGTTCATGCCGACGATTGTAGGTCGATGTTTCGTCTTTTATTTCATGCTGGTATTCACCGTGTGTCTGGCTAAAGACGCGCTCATGTGAGTTCTATTTAGTAGCGCGGCTTAAAATGCGGAAGTTAAAATCGTAATGCGTTTTGGATAAACACATTATAAATAGATTAAATAGAAATTTAATGTAATAAAAATATTAGAAAAAATTGGAAATCAATAATATACATAGGTATATATATTTTACTTACAAGGAAGGGTACGAAAGTATCCCCCTCCGATTTTGATGAGCTTTGAATATGTTATATTCTACACCAAAATAAGAGACACGTATTTTTTTATACGTGCTCGTTTTAAGTTTTAGGGGGTAAAACACCTTCTTGAGGAAAATCCATTTTTTTATTTCGAGGCGAATATCGCCAAAACTATAAGAGATATAAAAAAATGCTACGAATAAGAGTTGCAAAATGGTTGCAAGAATATATATTTATAATAGCAATGTAAAAAAAAATTACAAAAAATTTGTTTAAACAAGTCCCACATTACTTTATATTTTTTTTTTAATTTTGTATTTTTTTATGACGAAATTAAAGGTTATTTTAATACAAATCCAACCATATATGATAAAATTATTTTCCGACTTATCATTTTTTAGAAATAATTAAAACGTCTATGTACGCGTGCTATCCGTGCTCGTTCATGCGCTTGAGTTTTCATGGGTCGATTTTCATATAACGTTAATTGCGTGAAAGAACGTTGAAGACAAATCAGCACAATAAATATTGAAATAAAAGTTTTGTAGCCACAATAACAACAATAATGATAATAAATAATAACAATAATAATACAATTATAGTGAGTTCATTAAACTAATAAAGCCGGTCTAATATTCTTGGCAATATATCAAAGTATAGGCATTTGTATTTATTACGAAAATAATATGTCGAAAAAAACTTTTTCATAAGTGAATTCATATTAAAATTTAAATTAAAATAACCATTAATTTTGCCATAAAAAGATACAAAATTATCAAAAAAAGGTGTAACGTTATCAAAAAGATGCATTCCTATTAGTCATCTTTAAAATATTATTACATACATAGTTTTAATTAGAACATCCAATTGCAATAATTAAATGTATTCGATAACCTATTAATCTATTACTGATAAAGACTTTTTAAATGTGTCATCATAACATCTTATCATTGCAATGCTATACTATAGAAATAGATTACTATTAATAAAAGTAATTTCTTTATTTACAACTTGT